AATTTCAAAATCTGTATGTTGCAGGTCAGACTTTAGTGAATAAACTTGTTAGTTTACATTTAATGCATGTACATTCACATGCGCATGTGCAGTGTTTTTGAGATTAAGCATGTACTAAAATAGTTAAATTAATTCTAAACTTACATACCTGTCATGCACTTGGAAATGTAATGGGAATATCAGGAAGTTTTTTTGTTGTTGTTTTTTTAATGTATGCATGTTTAAATACATACAAATAGATAATAAAATCTGTAATTAAGTATCCCTTAGTTTTAGGGTCCGAAGTTCATCTGGCAACATTGGTGGCTCATTTTTCAAAGAGGCAATCCCTGTAGACTGTCATTGTGTTGGTAAAATAAAGACAATAAAAGGCTGCGCACGTAAAATAGAGTCCAATAAAAGGAAAAAAGAGAGAAAGTCCAACTTGTGTATTCTTACAGGTGTCCTTGGTTGGCTGGATCTTCTATTTTAGTGGTGGTTTCGCTCGTTATGAAAAATAAAAAGAGGGAAAAAAGGACATCCAATGGTGTAGTATGTAAAATACAGGTATAGACGTAAAAATAATAGTATAAAACTCACATTTACCAGAGCTAATGTCCAGCTCTGGAGTAAAGCGCGTACAGCGGTTTGATCCCCGCTTGTGGGATATAAAGCAGGTTCCTCGCCGTGAATGGTATCCAATTCTCGGGATAAAACAAACAGCCAATAGTGCTCACTGTATAGCAGATAATAATAAAATAATAAAAGAAATGTACTTACAAAGAAAGAGCAGACCCACTGCTCTTTGATGATGGCTTAGGTGGACTGATCCCCACCTACGGATTTCTTTGGGTACAGGAAACTTCCAGGGATTTGTAGGTTTTTTATAAAACCATTAAAAATAATTAAAATAACAATAAAAAGGCCAGGGTAAAAAGAAAGATATGTGTCTATAAAAAAGATAATTGGCACAAGCAAATGACCAAAAATATTTTAATATATAAAAAACACAATATTCAAATATCCATAACGCGTTTCGTCACAGAGGGACTTTATCAAATGGATTATTTATTGTCTTTATTTTATCTTGTTTTATAGGGTTTGAGGGATTCCCTTTTTAAGGTTGCTGCAATAAGTTATCTAGCGCTGTCTCATTCCTTTCATTTACCAATGTCATTGTGTTGGTAGTGTCATGGGTCAGGTAAAGAGTAGTTCCACGGAAAATGGTTGAATTGATCCTTATTAGCCTTTTCATATTTGGAATATTTGACAGATATACCGGATTCAAAGCGGTTAAGTCACTAAACTGGGAGTTATGGAAAATTCCAAGGGGATTGAAAATGTAAGTCCTAAATAGCAGATTTTTCACTACCTTTGTAACTCTCAGTCAAGTGAACCTCTTTTTTTTTTTTATTAAACTGGTGAAGAATAGATTTTGAAAGGGAATGTGGGGAAGCAGCGCCTTCCCAAGTGTCCTCAACTCAAATAAAGATGGAACGATATGCAAAACAAGAGGACAAATAAAACAGAATATGGTGTAATATTTTTGATACTAGTGATTATAAATAAAAGAAAGGAAATGCACTTACAATCTTCTGAAGCTTGAAATCAGCCCCAGATATATGCGCATTGATGGCATAGTCCCCATGTGTGGACACGTTGATCTTGGTCTCGGTCTTGATCTTATGTGGAAAGATATCCTTAGGGTCGTCAGCTGCATATGGTGGTCAGCGTTTACAGAAGTGATCTCTTCCAATATACCATTTTATTACAAAGAGAGTTTAATAGCCTAGAAAATGAACATAAAAAGAGAAGATAGTGCTCTCTGTACAGCTAAAAGAAAAAAGAAATAATAAAAGGAGGTATACTCATAAATGAAGAGCACATTAAAGTTATGTTCAATCCTATATAGCTTAGGTGGTACCTTCCCCACCTAGGAAACCAAAGCATTGATCCTCCAGGTAAAAATCTTCATAGATAAAAACAGGAAGGTCCAAATGCAACAAAAACAGTTTCCTATATAACCAAAATAATAACATCAAAAGTATAGTATAAAACAGCCAATAAAACGTGTTTCACCTTTTTCAAACTCTTCATTTTTTATTTAAGAATAGATTTGGGTTAAAGAAAATAGAGATAGGGCAGCTCACTTGCACCCAGTTTAATTAAATGAAAGCTCCTATAACAAGTTTGAGATGGAAATTTCCACAAAAAATCCCCTCCTTTTTTCTAGTGCGTAAACATTAGAAATATTTTTTAACAATGTAGGTTATTTTTTATTTTATGTTATTGACATTAAAATACATTTCTGACATAACACATTTTGTGAAGACATTAATAACATGCAAAAATTCAACCAAATAGTTGGATCATTGATAAAATATTTTTAATAATGTTGTAAGGAAGCCCTAAGGGTTGGGTTGTTCTGTTTTTAATGCTTATGTTTAACAACATTACTGCTTGTTAAACATGTGTACTATTGTGATTAATGATTAACCTCTTATAGACCAATGATTGTCTGATTTCTATGTTCACATAGAAATTTAGTCCTAATGGCTTTGCTTCATCATATAATGTCCTTGTTCTTTAGTGGCAGTTGTAGTTTGTAGTATAGACAATCACTATTAAGCAGATCATTCCATGTTGATGCAGGAACTGCACAGACAAGAATTTTAATGGCCAATAAACGGTTAAAAATAATTTGAGCCAAATAAAAGCACATTCTTCCAAAAAATTTTAAGCTGTATTTACATTATTTTAAGCATCCGGTTATGCAATGCCTGGTTATGCATGTGTTAGAGACAAAGGCCTCTGATTAATGGCCATGTTATATATTTGTATAGACATGCAGGTATGTCCTTTGTCAATGTCTGCGCCGTCACCAGATGAAGTTGCACTGCATGTGGCTTAATTCTGGAATGTAAACAAATTCCTTCAGATACTCAACAATGCATTCCATGGAAATCCACAATGAAAGGGGACTAATAAGGAAGACAAAACTTGCATAAGCTCTTTGTGTTTACGCAAGTGGTTATTTGCAAGATAATTTGTAATAATTGTAAATGTTTAATATTTGTTGTAAATTACAAAATTATATAAACAGAAGATACAGTGAATGGGAGCATTAAGAATGGGCAAAAAGATAACAGTTTACCCTTCGATTAGTCCCCATTCGAATATCAATCACGTTTTAGTTTGCATGTGCTATTTGCCTACCAGACTGATCTCACAATAAGTACAGTGTAAATCCAAAATGCCATCAAGGTCTCTATGCAATGAAGATGCAGTAACCCCAAACAATTGTTTTTTACTCTTTATTGGGTGTCATTAAAGAATTATAGCTGATAACTTTTTAGGTACATTGAGCATATGGATTACCTCCCTAACTTACCAAATGTCGCCATGGGCATTTTCCTGATTTAATATATGAACAAGCATTTTCACAGGAGATTTGAGACCCCTTGGGTGACTTATTACATTGAAAGAATGGCAGAAATCCTCTATAGCATTTAAAGGGTCAACCCAGGCACCATTATTACTGCAGGCTATTAAAGTAGCTACTCTTAATAGATGCCTAATGATGCAGTCACCAATTAAAAGTCTTTGGTATTTTGCGTGATAATGGAAAATCTGACCCGCTCAAATACATTTTCTTCTGTACGTGAGCTCAAGAAGAAAAAAGAAACCTATTTTTTAAACCTTATTATTTTGTTTAGAAGATATGACTAAGCCAAACAAATACATATCTGAACTCCTTACTCTACTTATACAAAGAGGTATATGTCATCCTTCACTGAAGAGGCTAAAGTAATCTTCTGGGGTAGACCTTTCCACTTAGAGGTGTACTCACTTTTAGACATTTCTAGACATGGTTTAGACATTAATGGCTGTGTGTTGAGTTATTTTGAGGGGACCACAAATTTACACTGTTATACAGGCTGTACACTTACTACTTTACATTATAGCAGAGTGTCATTTATTCAATGTTGTCACATGAAAAGATATAATACAATATTTATACAAATGTTAGGGGTGTACTCATTTTTGTGAGATACTGTATATATATATATATATATATATATATATAAACACATTTTACTGATACTCCAGTAGACTGGAGTTTGATAATTGGGTTAACCTAGTCCCCAGCATTAGAGAATAAACAAAGGAAATCATACAATATGCTGACTGATCAAATAACACATTAGTGTTGCACTTACGCATCAGAGACACAGACTATGGCAAGACAGAGAGGACAGGTGCAAAGGAAGACGAGCAGATGTTTACACTGCAAGACATTAAAAGAACCATTGTGCATGCCTGCTACTAGTAATTGCAAAAAGAACAGTGGCATGCTGGCAAGTATCCCAAGTAATGATTCGGCAATATGGTGCCTCTAAGAATGATTGCAACAGCAGAAGGGAGACAGGTAAAGAATTTAGTACAAAGACACCAATTACCAATGCACATAACAAACAAACAACATGCCATCAAAAATGAAAACAAAAAAGCAATTGGATTATGTACATAAAAGACACCCATTCGTGATCAAAAATTTTCTTTCTAATACATAATACCTATTTTTGAGCACAGAATAATGTTGAAATGTCTGATTCCATGAAAATTCTTATTAGAGATAGAATAAAACTACTTTCTCCAACTACATCTTGTTATGTCTTGCTACCAGCATTGCAAAGAAGCTATTTCTTCTAAAAATGCCAAAAAGCAATTAGCTAATGAGTAAATCAATCTTATCAAGCCTATTGGATGCTAGTATTGTATTTGCTCCTAAAGCTTTGTCCATGATATTCTGTGTCATGGAATGGATTGGAAATAGGGTGGTTCGATTGTTTATAAAACAGAAACCTTTAAAGGGATACTCCAAGCATCAAATTGCTCTCAGCGAATGACCCGCCAATCACGGTTAAACTATGTCTGTGTACATATTTCTTATTTGTTATTCATTATTTCACCACAAGCTCCTTTGTGTTGATCACTCAACTATTAGACAAGATGATATTATCATATTTACTTTTTCATCTAAATAGATGGAAAATATTAGGAAATCAGTGTTGTGTTTCCGTCTTTAATAACTAACGTAAGGAGCTCTACATAAATGTATAAACAGATAGGACGTCAATTATAACTATTATTGTAAACAGCTGAAGCTGTTGCGTGATGCGTTGTCATGAATGTAATCTTGTCGGTTTCTGTGCCCTATCTGGGTTTGTTCCAGCAATGCTGCACAACACCCTAGAGGAGAAGGGTGTGGGGATAATGGCAAACTAATCTCTTCAAGACACAAAAACAGAAACTAAATTGATAAACAATACAATTAGTATCATAACTCATGTATCTTTTTTAGTAGACATGTTCTAGCCAAAGTATGAAAGGCCTAATAGGGCTTCCAGATCAGTCATTTTTTACAATGCCTAGGCATTCTATATAGGGCTTGACGTATATCTAGACAAATCATGAATTGACAAATGTAATTTTAAAATACATGAACACTGACATATTGATTCACTAACTGGTATGGGACAAAGCAGCAACGTTTCTTGCAATACCAGGTATTAAGGGGTTCTGTCTAGAACAGGGGTTCTCAACTCAGTCCTCAGGACCCCCTACCAGTCCAGGATTTGGGGATTACCTGGGTGTGTCTCAGGTGTTTAGAAAAAGGGGAAAAAACACCTTTTTTTTCTAAACATCTAGGACACACCCAGGTAATCCCTAAACCCTGGACTGGTAGGGGGTCCTGAGGACTAACGTTGAGAACCCCTGGTCTAGAATGTAAGAGCTCCAGCAATTGATATTTCTTAGTTAGTGCTATTTTTTCAAGGGATTCAAAAGAAGGCCCAGTTAATGGCCTAAATGCTATACCTAGTACACCAGCAATGTGGCCTCACTAGGCAAGTTACACCAGTCTAATTAACCTATTTAATGCCAAAGCAGAGGGCAGCACAATCCTGGGTACATATCTTGGCCATTTTATGGCATATTACTCTCCATCCCACAGTCCATAGAGTGGGTAAAGAGGAGAAGCCACTTGTGGGGCCACTCTTGGTTTTAATTACATTGTAGCTCTTTCAATAGGAAAGCTAACATTGTATAATCTCACAGATGTTAGCATGTTTAGTTTTTTTGTTTGTCTATTGTGTTTTTTAATGAACCAAAAAAAAAAAATTCACCCAGATTGCTGACATGTTTCCTGATTACTTTTAAAGGGATAGAACGTCAAGAACAGTGAGTTCCCCGCATGTTCAGCAAAACAGGAAAAGACAATGTATTTTATGTTGAACTTGGTGTGGTCAGAGTTGTGGAGGTCTTGTGTCAAAGTTGTCCAAACGCATTCATGTGAGCTTACATTGAATGTGATTTATGTGAACAAGTCCTGCAGCTGATGAAATACAAGTCTGTCTTTCCAATCCTACCAAAGTACTTTGAGAAACTATTTTGCATTTTTACAGTAAAACGCGTAAGAAAACATATGTTTCACCTTTTATTCTTTTGCTATTTTATTAACAGTCTGAAAGATAATTTGGTATTTTTACCTGTGAATTAATATGAAAGAGCAAAAAGAAAAAAAAAAGTTTTGTGTGTTTTTCTGTTCTTACAAATGGAAAATAATAAAAAAAAATGTATGGGCAAAAGACACAGGTGTGCTTGCATGTATCTATTTGAGTTTTTTGTATGTATATATGTATTTATGTGCAGAAGAGTATCTCTAACACAAGTGAGCCTTTCAGTCTGGCTAAACGCCACAAATATTCTATTTCATTTCCTCCTGGTACAAGTCACGTATTTGGCACAGATTATAATAAAACAAACAAGCTTGACAACACAAACTACATATTCAGTGTGTCATTACATATGCGGATTGCTTAGTTCTTGAACGCTATGTTCCTTTAGCTTATGAGTGGAACACAGCTGTCATGAGGCACTGTAACATGATTGACAAGTCTGGAAGAATGAATTCACCCAGTTTGTTTCCCAGGCAAAAGCATACAGCAGGCCATAACTGCTTGTGAACTACTGATGTGTCTGATAAAGATTATCCCCCACTCACTGCGTCACATATCACATAGAGAAAATAAACTACGTATGTGTGTGTGTGTGTGTGGTATGTGTGATGTATTATACAGTAGCAATGCTTGTCTGATTATTATGATTAAGATAGTTTTAATGTCAATTACACCGATGATTTCAGATTGTTTCTTTTGCTTGCGGATCATAGTATCCAAGAATTTCCTTAACTGGAAATGTGTGTTCACTGCAGCTGAAAAAAAAAAGAAAAGAGTTACGCATGTGTTTTGGTACAAAGTACTATTATCAAAGTAGAAACCCTAAGGGATCTATATTCCACTGTCCACTAACATCAGGACTTCATACATGCACAATAAAAATGTTGGCAGAGGAATTATGAGAAAAAATGCATTTTAAAGAGGAACTGACATATTTAATATATTTGCATGTTTTTTTGTTTGTTTGTTTTTTATTCTGGATTAAAGGTGTACCTAAATTATCTGGCACCAGGATTGTGAATTGGCACTACCTCACCCCAACTATAGTTTTTTTATTTATTTTGTTTGTCTCTCTGCAATGCCCCTTGCACTCTTTTGTTAGCAAAATTACATATATTGAAACATTCACAGGTATGCTTACATTTATATACAGATACTTAAATTCATATACACACACACACACTTGTATTCACACATTCACATGCACACACACACACACACACATATTTACACACACATTTATACACACATATTCAAATTCATATACACACACAAATGCATATTTATACCCTCACTCACTTCCATATACACAGGCAGATATTCATACATACACACTCACTTTCATATGAACACTTATAATCATATACACACACACATACATTCATACACTCACACATTTGTTTATTATTTAAACCCTACAAAGATCCCCAAAACCTTGTCCCCAAACCTTTTTTAAATTATTCCAAATATATTTTAGGTCTATACTCAAGCTCTTTATTGTTGAATTGTTGCAGTTTTACGATGTTTTGTAAGCTTATATTTATCTTGAATTAAGTGATTTCAGATTTAATTTATTTATTTATCAATTTATTTATTTTGTGAGGTTGTTGTGCAAAGTGTAATTGCACGTGTTTCACTACAAACATAATAGGAATATTGATTCAGAGTGAAGGTGGAACACTCTTAATGAAATATTAATTTTTGGAAAAATTGCTGCTGCTATTTTGTTATTTTTACCTTTAAGACCTTTTTTTAGCTTTTGTTGTATTATTTAAAGTAAACTCTTACACCAGTAATATTAATTTGGCTCAAATACTTTAATAAACTATTCATGACCTTTGTCTCCTCCAAGTCACATCATCGGTTAAATGCAAAACAAGGCTGGTGTCTCCTTTCACTTTTTTTCCCATCAACTACAGTCTGGTAGATAAATCACTTTTCTTGTAACTCACTTAAAACTTCTCAGATTTCATCATGGTTTGTGCTTTTTCCAGTCATTCTCAGGAGGCCCACACTACTCCACCTGTAGGCACAGATGAAATGGGGCCTCACTGCAATGTAATATTCCATATGTGAAGCCAATTTTTTTTGCACACATTTCTGCCAACACAGTTAAGAATGATTAGTTAAACCACCTCTAAATATTTATGTAAATATGTAACACACATACCTAAATTCTTGCGCTCCAGGGCCAAATGATTTAATGTCAGGTGTTCCTTTGGCTAGTTGTATAAAGTAGATCAAATAATGCCTCTCTATAGTTGTCTTGCAGTGTAAAATCAAACTGTATTGAAGAGATTAAAGTTTCAGTTTAATACAGAAACCTTCACCAACATTCGCCTAGAATCTTACCTAAAACTAACATATTTTCACCAATCTCAACTACTAATGTACCATGTACATCATTAATCATGGTCCTTTAGTAGAAGGCTTATGGGGAACTACACTATGTTCTATATAAATGTACGTCACACTGCAAGTTCAAGAAATTGGAATAATTTTGCAGAGGTGAAGTTACCTGCACATTGTTACTTGTATAATAAGGTTTAACCAAATAATCATTTGTACCTGTAGTGTGGGTCCTTTAATATATAGTGGCCACATGAATTACCCACATTGTGGTGTGGTAATGTGAAGGGTTAGAGTGGTACCAGGGAGACAATAACTGTAGAAGAAATAGATTGAGATGCAGGTTGTGGTCAGAATAGTCAGTGCTGGATTAAGAACTTAATGGGCCTCGTACACAGGTACCAACAGTCACGATTTTGCACAACAAAAATATTTATTTTTGACAATCTTTACCTTCAAGATTCAATCAGTTATGATAGGAAACATACAATAGATATGTAAAAATACAACTAGTAGATATTATAAACCCGCAGTTAAAAAAACTAGTGCAGAGTACAGTGTTAGATGTTCCATTTGACACCTGCCCATGAGGAAGGCTGCGAATCAGCCATGCAGTTCAGTGAAGATATAGAAGAGAATTGAAGAAGGTGAAGGGTGAGAGAGAATGGGCAGAACGGAGGTGGTGGGGGTGGTGGACTTGGGAAGTGATGCCAAGCTTTCAATCATCACTCGGAGACTGAGTCCATCCGATCAAGTATTGTTACTCAAATAAAACTGCTGGGTTCTTTAAACATCCTTATAATTGTCAGACCGACCTAGTTCCTCCATCTGGAGGATCTCTTTTATGCACAACCAGCAAACTCTGGTGTGAAAGAGGTCCATTTTGCAGCCAAATGGCAGGCATCCGTGATTGGCAGCAGTTTGCAGGTGTTTGGAAAACTTTTTTGTATATTTAGAGATGGATATTTTAGTGTAGCTTAAAAGCATATCCACTGTATTAAATTCTACTGCTTCATCTGCTACAGTGTTCATCATATACCCTCTTCCAGTATGGAGATATTACTGGACAGTCCAAGGAAATATGCAGTAGAAATCCAACTACATCTCCAGCACTGGTCTGTTGCCCCATGGAAGAATTTGTGTACTTTTTGTGGGAATGTCTTACCAATTTGTTACTGTTTTATAATTGATCTCTTATTTATAGATATAGATAGTTATTTAGAGCATAGGGAATGTGGTGTGTCAGTATCAGCATTTTTGACCATTCCTGGACAGCAAAAGATAGTTGCAAAGCATCCTCCCAATAAAACTTGAACCTGAAGAGGGCAGGTCGGGCTCCAGTGAGGATAAATTGATAGAGAGTGGA